CAAAGGTAGCTCAGACCGTTAAGACAGAAAGCAAAGCATTTGACACATTATGTCTGACCTCAGGTGAAGGGGGTAGTTATCTACTTTAGAACTCTTACATTTTTAAGTGGTTCCCACTCATCTCCTTATCAAATTATAGTTAACACTTACTGAGTGCCAGACACAATCCCTATCTGTAATTTAATTTTCACAACTCTGTGGGGTGGTATTATTCTAATCCCCATTGAGTGGATGAGGAAAGTGAAGCACAGAGAGACTTAGTAACACAATCAGAGGGTCCACGCTCATGAAACTAGTGGCCAGTGTAGACAAGAAAATTCATTGCCGTTCCCTTTCATGATACACTTTCACACGAGAAAATCACCTAACAATGCAGTTCTCAGAATGTATCCTTAGTTATAAAGAGAAGTATCCCTGAATACTTTAAGATGGTTCAGAATTGATTTTCACTTATAAGTTTCCAGTTTTGACACATTGAACTTTCGGAAGCTCCTTGGGTTCATGAGCTTTCTTCACCCACTGGCTCCCATTCTTACAGATGTGCACTTCGTGATTATTGGGGCTAAGGACAATCTGGGTCCAATCCCTGTTTCAGGCATGACAGGTGATTGACTCTAGTTAAAAAAATGGATGCAGGGACATTATTCTTAGTGTTTTCAAAAGATAGAAAACTGGAGCAGGGGGCAGTTGAGACAGGCTTGGAGGACATTTTGTAAACAAGCCCCAGTGGGACAGAGGACTGAGGCCAGGAAGGGGCTAAAAATGTTTATTATTATATTATCTCTCTTAACAAGCTTAGTTAAAACCTGGAAATAAAACATATGCTTCTGGATAGGTGGAAAATGACATCTCATTTTTATTTGAATTTCTTTGATTACTTGTGAGGTTAAATGTGCTCATATGCTTATTGGTCATTTTTGTTCCTTCTTTTGTTAATTCATGTCCATTGTTCATTTTAAAAATTGGGGTGTTTGTCTTTCACTAATTGATGTATATGGATTTTAAAAATACATTACATATATGTAGAATATACTCATATATGCAATTTGTTTTATCATGTTATAAAAACCTTTCCTGCTGTCATTGTTTCAAATATTTTATAATATAGTGGTTAAAATTTTGTATGTAATCAAATCTATCAATATTCTTCATTATGATTTCTGGCTTTGATGTCATGCCATACTTTAACTAGTTCTAGAGAACTGTTAGATATTTTGGTTATCTCCAATTTTCTCCTATTATAAATAAGGCTATAATAAACACTACTCTGCCAAAATGTTTGTCTAGTTTTCCTAGAAATGAAATGAGTAAGTAAAAGGTTTTAAACATTTACAAACCAACACTTTTCATGAAACACTCCCAACAACAGTATATGAACCTACACATTTCATTGTACTCTTAAAATAGTTAAATATAACCTTGCACTATTTTAATGGACAAAACTTTTGCTGTAACGGTATGGCAGTGTCATATTTGTTGCAAGTATTTTCCTGGTTTCTTTTTTATCCTTTATATACTTCCTGTTCCATTCTATAGGAGGGTCCTTCAAAAAGTTCATGGCAAGATTCGTATTATCTCTTAATTCTATTTTTCCATGAACTTTTTGAAGTACCCTTGTATTCCTGAATGGAATAACTGATTATTGTTAAGAAATCTAATCATGTCAAATTAATTTACAGGTTTCTTGCAATTACAAACAAATATATTGATAGCTCCAGTGTACTTCCTATCATTGTTCAAATGGACAATTTATATTGTCTTCTACTTTTTATATTATTTTTTTAATATTTATCTTTTTGATCTATCTATACTTTATTTTGACATGAGGTAAAGATTACTTGATCTTTTTCCAAGTTAACCAATTGTCTCAGCATAATTTACTGAATAATCTTAACTTCAAAAATAAACTTGAGTATATTAGTCTGTTTCTATGCTATTCTGTACCAGTTTTATAATGTTTGACTTACTGTAGCTTTACATATTTTAATATATGGATCAAGTCAGTCATTACTGTTGTTTTTCATAACTTTTTTAGCTTTTTAATTCTTCCAAATAAATTTTAGAAGCATTTTGTCAAGTATCCCTTCCAGGGGCCGGCCCGTGGCTCACTTGGGAGAGCGTGGTGCTGATAACACCAAGTCAAGGGTTA